TGTGTCGATTTTGGGCCAAATCCGGCCCGACTCAACTCGACCCGACCCAATGCCCACCCCTACATGTAGCAATTCTGTTTAGAAAGAATTTACAAACTATTTGTTTATAAATAAATAAAAATGACTGTTGAATAAATGATAATATAAACATTTTAAATTATCAAAAATAAAAATGAGAATTTATAAGTGAATAGTATTTGTGCTTCATACGTGAATAAAAAATAATATTGTGAAGTTTTGTGGAACTACGGAAAGATAAACATGTATAATAAAATAAATATTTATTGTGTCTAGATTTACATACCATCGAATAGTTTATTATCTTTTGTTTTGTTAAGAGGTAGAAAAAAGTGCTGGATTTACATCTAACCAAAAAAAAAATGACATAATTGAATCAAGCAGAAATTTAAAATTAAGAAAAATTAAAATATAATCTTGAATGTTTCAAATGTCTACAATACCCTAAAAGAAAAACTATAATCAAACAGGAATTTATAATGCTCCAATGAACATCTCGCACGTGGAAGGGTATATACCGTAAAATCATTGACCTTGTTGTAAGAACCGTGCGAGTTGGGTCGGATTGAATACATCGGGTATATGGGCTCCATCTGACTTCAACAAATGGGAAACTTCCACGTATCTCTGGTAACTCTCTTCTTCGTTCTCGGCTTCTCTTTGCGACTCACTTCCTTTTTTTTGACTCGGAGACGGCTTCTGATTCATTAACGCGGCTGACAGAGGCACGGCTTTGGCTCGAGCTGCATCCCAAGGTTGACCAAATAAAGTACCATTTGTTAAAAACTCGTGAGCTAAATACCCAGCCAGAAGGGTATTACTGGAAGCCAGCTGATCGAATGGCTTTGTTGTTGCTGGTCTATGAAGGCTCGGCTTGGCTAATGTTTTAGTCGTCACTGTTGACGGTTTCTTCACGACATTAGGACCGTCATCCCACTTTCTACGCTTATTTGTTGGAAAAAACTGACCGCGTGAGTTGTTCATCATCGCTATACACGTGTCGCACCTAACACATTCCACGTGGTACAAATTGCATACTTGTTAATGCACCCAATGGTAACGCCAACAAACTCTTATTCCTCTCCCCTAAACATGTAAAAACGACGTCGTTTCAGAGGAAAAGCACGAAGAAATTCAAATTAAACAGAAAATGACCTAAAAAGGACAAAAATTATAATCAAACAGATATAGATATAGATGTAGAGACACACGCAGATCAAAATTTAAACAAAATCTGGAAATTTACACAGAGAAACACTCATAGAAGCAAGAAGAGAGAGAATGGGTAGGGGGTTTCGAAATGGGACGAAATGGGAATTTATAGAAAGGAGGAGGATATTTTGCCCCTGAAGTTTGCAAAAATTACGGAGGACGGAAAACGGGCTGTTAAAAGGATTACGAACTCAACTGGTATTGAATGGTTTTATTGCCTTCCTTTTGTGGAGTTTTGTGAATCCCACAAAATTAACCATTTTAATTATATTTAAATAAATAATTGTCAATTTTGTAAGCTACGTAAATTCCATTAATAGAAAAAGTTACACCATTAATTTCTACCCTATCACTTTGATTCTTGATCGATTTTGTTTTGACAATATCGTCTCTAAATTTTCAAATTTGTCGTATTATTGGTCCTGATGCTATGTTGCATAATGAACAAATCAATTGTCGATAATTTTATGAACAAATGATAGTTTTATGTTAATAAACGATAAAATATTGTCGCTGTTTACTATTACTGATATATGTACAATAATATAGGGGAAAAAATAAGTTACGTCTATAGATGAAGTTTGTTGGTGAATACGTAATTAATTAATGGCTTGTGACCAATTAGATATCATTATCAATTGGACAATTTTTTCCATTTTTTAAAGGTAACAAGTTACAAGAGGTTAACGTTGGAAATAACTATTAACCTTTGCACATGCCCCATGACAAAAACAAGACAAATCAAGTAATCAACGTGCTAAAAGACCTTAAGAAATTATAATATTCGTTAAATTTTGAATAGGATTTGAAACCTTTGAATTATAACGAGGTGTGTCTCAAAATGGATAGACTGATTCAAATTGATTCGTGTATATATAAGCATAGTTTATACTCATAAAACTATGGTTCAAATTACATCATCAAAATGTTTGTGAAATTTAAATAAACACTTTATAAACGAATTTACTACTAATTGTACATTTTTTCAATAAAAAAAATTCAACTCGACACGACACACCATTATTTGCAAATCAATATGCGATGTAGCCCAAGATGAGCTCCGCCGATTTGAGTGTGATTTTTAATGGGCTAGATTGCTCCAAACCTAGCCCTAAGCCGCTCACCTAATAACTTCAAAATGTTGTAGCCCTAAGCCGCATGGGGCGGGAAATTTTGCTATCCTAATAACTTCAAAATTTACCTATTAAATTACACTAATCTTTATGTAATTGAACGTACTAAGATGTGTTGTTTCATCTAAAAGATCAATTTTATTAAGAGGAGTAGCTCGTATTTTTATATGTTGATTGTTGATTTCATCTTTATTCGATGCGTGATTTATTACTTATCATGCTCAAATACGATGGTAGTTCGTTTGAGTGTATGAACCTTCGAATCATTTAAGTTTTAATTTGACGAGTTAAACTTAATAGACTTGGATATTATATTTTAAAAGAATATTTTGGTACAACTTTTTCTAACTTATAATAAGTTGATCAAACATAATTTTTATTTACACATTCTGTAGGACGTGTAATTTATAATATACAAAAAGTTTTACCATATATAGACTAGGACTTGGAGTTCTATCTAAAAATAATTTTACACTTAAAACTCATTTTTTTTTTCTATTTTTTAACAACATATTCTCCAAAAAATCATTATTTTGAAATACATTTCTCCCAAAAAAAAGGGACTCAAACGAGGCTTATGTTGTTGTTTTTGTTTTTTGGTTTTTGCCATGGGAACACAGGCAATCTTATTTCAAACATTACTCTCATCAACATGGATGACTTATTAGCTTTTGGAAAAAAACTAAAAGTTGGTCCTCATTGATCATGATAAGGATATTGTCTAGGATTCTTAAGGGTCGCTTTTATCATAAATATATGGTCCCAACATTTTGAATAACTCTACTTAATGCTTAATAAAATAGGTCCACAAATACGAGAAATATATAATTTACTAAGAGTCTACTCACAAAACTAAGATCGACTGCTGTAAATTTAACTTTAAAGTAGAAGAAAATTGTCAAATAGGAACCAACAATACTATAAAGTTGAAAAGGTTGGGAACATACCATCAAAGAAAAGAGACTGAGATTCAAATTGCTAGAAAAACTTAGAGAATATGGTGCATTTTTCCTATAATAGAATTTTAGGTACCTAAAATTTAATATTCATCTTTCATTGAACACCTTGAGTTTCGTATTTTTGCCACGACTTAGGATCCGTCAGACATGATTTCTATTTTGCTTTTGCTTTTTGTAGAATAGTTTTTTAAGGAAATTAGCTTAGATCGATTTCCTCTAAAAATTCTTAACACTTTTGAAAAATTATTCAAATATGTTCAAAAGTTATTTCTTAACTTCAGAAACAGCTTTTGATTTTTCAAAAGTATTGTCAAATGAGCCCTTATCCTTTGTCGTTTCCGTAGTTTACAAAGTTATGTGAAACTGGATAAGATTAAGTAATATTAAAAAATAAATATGATATTGTCGAGTACCTTTCAATTTAATGTACAAGTAGACATGTTTAACGGGTAGTTATTGCTCATATTTGGAAAAGGCTTTTTGCATAGTGAGCTAGAAAAGTGTTCCGGTTGATCAGCCCGGTCCAAATATTACTGGGTCTAGGTTGGGTCAAATCCAAAAGGTAACACGATCAATTTATTAATTATGTTTAACTCTTTGTTCCTACTCTTAATGGAGATTTTTCTTTCAGGAGTAATCAATTTATTTACTATGTAATACTCTACACTTACATCATGGTTGATATCTTGAATGACATTTCATGATGTAACAACCAATTTTACCATTGATTTCTCCAACACTTATTCGAATTAATGACCTCGTTTTTTATACCTAATAGGATGTCATAAAAAATGTACACATTGAGTGCTCGTTTGGTAAAGATTAAAAATAGTCTTCATTAGATGTCACTCGTCTAATAAAAGTCAACAATAAAAACTAGTTATTCAATTTTAATCCGATTTTAATATCTACAAAACAAACTCTGAATATACAAGTAGATTAATTCAAACAATATTGTATATAACAATAAATCAAATTTTAATCATAGTTTTCTTCATTAATTGTATCGAATATTGTCAAATCTAAAATATTAAATATGCTATAAATACATGATATGAAATATGTAACCCTCAAATGTTATGTGCTGCATATGACTTTCACGAACCTGGCACAATCCGCGCCTATTTGTTCGTTATTTCCTAATATAATAAAAAGAACAGTTTTGGGTTATTGTAGATGCAACAGTAACCCAATGAGATGTTACTGTTCATTTCTCAATTTTTTACACCTCAAGTCCTCCAATTTTATATTACAACTTTTTTTGTTCCACAATCTACTTTTCTGGTGCATTTGGATATGTCATTACTGCTGAAATGAAATTTAATACAGTTGATGGCTTTCAAGGCCGAGAAGTTGATATCTTGCTGCTTTCAAGAGTTAGAGTAGTTAGATTTGAAGCACCCATGATTAACTCTAGCAATCTTGGATTTGTTGCTGATGTTAGATGGATGAATGTTTTTTTGACTAGAGCTAAACTTTCTTTATGGATTTTGGGTAATTCAAGAACATTACAGACGAATCAGACCTGGGCATGTCTTGTTGAAGATGCAAAACAAAGAAATTTGATTATATTAGGAATAAGGCCATATAGTCCCATGTTTAAGTTTGCTTCAAAAAATAGACCAGCTTCAAGTAATTCTGAAAACAAATCAAGTATGTCGAGGAATATTGAAAAGGTTGAAGCAGCAAATCAACATGTAGAGACACAAAAAAAGATTGTGAAACATACTTCTGAAAGGAAAAGAAAAATTGGGATTGAAACACAAACTGTCACTATAACAGGTGAAGGCGATCGTGTTTTTCCACTAGCGAAGGATGCTACTAAGGATAATAAAAGAAGAGTCAGGGATAAAAGAATCATTACAATATAACAAAAAGAAAAGGACCGTTCACAGGTGAAATCAAAGATGCTAACATGATGAATTGAAATATCTTAATTGTTAGCACTCTTATAATTAATTAAAAAAAAAAAATCGCTCGACAATGCGCGGAGAGTTTCTTCGTGGGAGACATCGCGAAGACATGACATTTTTTTTTAAAACTTTGGATACGAGTCTTCCTTTTTTTTTTTTTTTGCCAAATTGACTATTCTTTTTCTTGTTATTAAATTCAGGCTATACCATTTGTTTACATTTTACGTAGACTAAATACAATTTCACTTATTAATAATTTGTTGTGTACTGTTTGTATTTATAATAGTAGGATAACTTGAAATTTAAGTTAGATTTGCTTATAAATTAATTATATCTTTTCAGCACATGAAAATTAGAATTTCTTTCGAGGGCGTTGCCCCCTCGACCCCCGCGATCCCCTTCAAGGGCATTGCCCCCGAACCCCCACGAGGGGTGCTGCTCTCGAGCCCCCATTGCCCTTCTACTCCCGCGACCTGACTGGGTAGGTCGACCTCATTTCGAAGCGGCAAACCATTTGCATAACAATAATAAACAAATAAATAAATTATAAAAAAAAATATATTATCTTTAAACTAATAGTTTTTTGTTAAATTTGAAATTTGCTCAACAAGATGATATTCCGATGGCCACGGTAAAACTTTAGCAATTGAATCTTAATCGGTTCTTGCTAGGCTCTTTATAGAAAGGCCGATGAAATTGAATCAAATAGATGCCACATCTAATCCCAAAAAGTAAAAAAGGCTCGTCGAACAAGTAGCCTTTAAAATGAAAGAGTAAATCGATGACATGCCTTATTCAATCCACTGCTTTGAAAGACCTTACTACCTACTTGCCGGGCTAGAAATTGAAATTAACAATTATATACTAAAATGAAAAAAATGGGGGGGTTTGGTTCGTTAAACTAAAGAACGCAATAAATTCAAAATAGTATAGCCTTGAAATTGAAAATAAACAAGGTAATTTTTNACTGCTTATCAAGGACGGATGCACCCTTGTTTCAAAGGAATATGCAATTTTAGGTTTCGACTTTGAAAACGAGTGTACTCGCCAGATGATGTTGCAAAGAAACATAAAAGAAGAAAGACAAGTACACATTCACTTGTACAAATAATGAGTGAGTATTTAAACTATTTACTATTTACTATAATATTTCATTTTCTACAATATTTCATTTTCTACTTACTAATTGAAAGCATGTTTAGCTAAGATTTAAAAAGTTTTTTGTGCTAAATAAGCTTAGATATGCTATTTTTTGTAGCATATTGTTCAAAAAGTTTATAATTTACTTATCGCTAAGCTTAGCAAAAGAAGTTGTTAACAACTTTTTATTAATGCCTGCTTCCAAAACTCTTCATTTTATTTATGTTTTACATGTTTGTTGTTTAAATTATAATTTAATTATAAGTTGATATTCTTACTTGCAGCCATATGACCATCAATCACATGGGCCTTCTCATTCTATAAAATGAGTAGTTTTCAGTTACAGGCTAAAACTGCTGATTAATCTGCTGAATTAATGTTTGTAAGAAGGCTGATTTTGTAGATACCAAAAAAGTGGAACATAGTCTGAAATATTCGATTAATTTGCTAAAAATGTACTTTCTTCTAAAGTTTTCCTTTTTATTTTAATGATGTGTATATAAATAAAAAAAAAAAAAAATTGCTCCGCAGTGCGCGGAGAATTTCTCCGCGGGAGACATGACATTTTTTTTTTAACTTTGGATACAAATCTTCCTTCTTTTTTTTTCCAAATTGACTATTCTTTTTTTTATTATTAAATTCAGGCTATACCATTTGATTACATTTTACACAGACTAAATACAATTTCACTTATTAATAATTTGCTGTGTACTGTTTGTATTTATAATAGTAGGATAAGTTGAAATTTAAGTTAGATGTGCTTATAAATTAATTATATCTTTTCAGCACATACATGAAAATCAGAATTTCTTTCGGGGGCGTTGCCCCCTCGACCCTCGCGATCCCCTTCAGGGGCATTGCCCTTGAACCCCCACGAGGGGTGCTGCCATCGAGCCTCCGTTGCCCTTATACTCCCGCGACCTGACTGGGTAGGTTGGCCTCGTTTCGAAGCGGCAAACCATTTGCATAACAACAATAAACAAATAAATAAATTATGAATAAATATATTATCTTAAAACTAATAGTTTTCTGTTAAATTTGAAGTTTGCTCAACAAGATGATATTCCGATGGCCCCGGTAAAATTTTAACAATAAAACTTGACAAAGTTTTATTCCAAAGTTAGTGATTATGCAAGCACTTGCTGCACTTCATTTATTTTTTCCTCCATTTTTTTAGGTTTACGATTGTGTCAACATATCAGTGTGATGTAAAGAATTTTGCATAACCATTGGAATACTGAGGTTTGATTCTAAGATTTGTATTCCATGTGTTCAATTTTCAGACATGTACATTTAACAATGAAAAAAATGTTATTTGTATTGTCATTGTTTTGAAAAACTCTAAAATAACTTATTCTTCTATTCTTTAATGTTACATTTTGTCAATGATCTTCATGACACTCAGTTATTAACATTTTGTAATACAAAATCTCATTAAGATATGAATATTGCGGTTAGTAAAGTTTATTCATCGTAATAAATTTCTTTACATACTTAATATAGTTAATTCACATTTATTTATTCTATTAGAATCTTGATCTGGAGTTAAAACTATTTCTTTACATACTTAATATATTTCTATTAGAATCTTAACCTGAAGTTGAAACTGTTGAGACGGCTTATCAAGGACGGATGCACCCTTGTTTCAAAGGAATATGCAATTTTAGGTTTCGACTTTGAAAACGAGTGTACTCGACAGATGATGTTGCAAAGAAACATAAAAGAAGGAAGTACAAGTACACATTCACTTGTACAAATAATGAGTGAATATTTAAACTATTTACTATTTACTATAATATTTCATTTTCTACTTACTAATTGAAAGCATGTTTAGCTAAGATTTAAAAAGCTTTTTGTGTTAAATAAGTTTAGATATGCTATTTTTTGTAGCATATTGTTCAAAAAGTTTATAATTTACTTATAGCTAAACTATCGTTTTCTTCAACAATTGTTCTTTTTATTAATGCCTGCTTCCAAAACTCTTCATTTTATTTATGATTTACATGTTTGTTGTTTAAATTCTAATATAATTATAAGTTGATATTCTTACTTGCAGCCATATGACCATCAATCACATGGGCCTTCTCATTCTATAAAATGAATGGTTTTTAGTTACAGGCTAAAACTGCTGCTTAATCTGTTGAATTAATGTTTCAGGGTAAGAAGGCTGATTTTGTAGATACCAAAAAAGTAAAACATAGTCTGAAATATTCGACAAATTTGCTAAAAATGTACTTTCTTCTAAAGTTTTCCTTTTTATTTTAATGATGTGTATAATATCTAATCTGGTCAACTTATATGGGTTGAAAGTTCATTTGATAAGATGCATACAGAGTTGGCTATTATGGCACAAACTAAACTGTCTGAGGCACAAAATGTGATAGAGAATGCTAACATATGTGTTAATTATTTTTCCTAATACTAAATCTTATTTCTCATAAATTGTTTTGGCTCATTCCATATTGCGTGTTCTTCTTTTGCTTCATTTTCTAATATTTAACTGTATAATTTTTCATCTCAGTACTTTTTTGTTCATTTTTTCATGTACTTATGTTGGGAAATTGGATTTTATTGACATTGTTGTTTCTCTTTTATTTCAATGTTGTTTGGTATTCACAGTAAATTTAATCAAATATTTCTCACTCCTGTAAACCTGCAATCTTTATGTATGTCAAACGTTTCTATTATCATCTATATACACGTAATGTTTTCAATTTTATTTTTGGTGAGTTTCTCTATACAGTAATATCAATTTTTGAAATAATCACCTTGTTAGAATGAGCAGTAGCGAAGCAATAATATGCTCCCAAGACTTTTGAATAATCCAATAAATTTTAAACTACTTTTTTTAATATCTACAATTTCTACACTAATAAAAACACAACAAATATAAAATTCGTGCAACGTACGTGTCAACGACTAGTTTTAAGAAAAAAGTTTGGGTGAGGGTGGGGACATTCAAACATTTTTTGTCCTAATTTTAAGGGGTTCTTTGAGTCCCCATCATTCAAATTCTAAACTTTAATCTAACATAAAAGGACGATCTAAAAAGTTTGTTAACATGTTTTGTACAACATTTTAAGTAAGAGATATACCAAAGACTCGTAAAGACTAGTGTTATTCAGGATCCAATCCTTACTTTTGCACAAAAAAACGGTTTTAAAGTTCTTTACAGTGTCAAGTTCGGCATTGAGAATTTATGTTTTTATTTGGTAGGGATTAATATCAAGATAAGATTCATAACATTTAAATCACAGATTTTATCAAAATATATTAAAATATATTTAAAATTTGAGTTTTGATTTTTTTTTTGGTCAGCAGCAAAGCGACCATTTTTCTTTTAAAAAGCAGACAGCACAAAAATTCATGAAATGGAAACTTATCCATGTGGGACATGTTTTTACCTTAGAACCCTAAAAAATTACAAATTTGACTCTCTATAGAATTTTCGTTTCCCAAATCCCCACCACCATATATAATTAACAGAATTGAATATTCTCAATTCTTGATTTTTCCAGTACTTTTGCCCCTTTTAAATAAATCAAGTCTTCTTTCTCACGCTTATGTTCAAAATTCGATTCTCTGTCTTTTAATCCTGCCCACAAAACCAGATCAGAGTTTAGTTCATATACTTTAATTGAATTGGTAGAAACTGTTTGAATAAAAGAAAAAGGAAAATAAAATAAAAGGTTCTTTAAACTTTTTGAGAATCTTGTTTGATCGAAGTAATTTATTTATCTTCCTTGAAGATTGGAATTATTGATCAGTTATAAGAAGAGATGTGGGCTAGTGTTTATGTTCTGTGGGCTTCGAGCATCTGCTTTCTGTATTGTTCTTCCGACAGTGAGAGGTAAATATGTGTGTACGTTTTTCTCTTTAATTGGTATTAATTATGTTTGCTTTAATGGATTATTAAATTTGATTCCAGCAATTTAAACACGGAAGTTTCTTAATTTGTAGAATCTTGAATTTTTTTTTTTTGGGTCTGGGAGTTTTGGATTGTGACTTTGATGGTCACTAGGTAGTATGATATAAGTTGAATTCTGAAATGGGTTATAAACAATTAACAAGAACTCAAATTTTTTAATTCTGGTATTGCGTTTAAAGTTCCCATTCAATTCTTTTTTGGGATATGTTTAGTTTTATGATTGATGGAAACATAAGTCCTTCTAGTATACGAATGATATGCAGCTGTACTACAGTAAAATGGTCAAGATTGTACCTCTTTTTTCTTGTTGTTTAATACTGTCTAGGATTGCCTCGCCCCCTTACCGATAACACAAGTGAACTTTCTAGTTATTTGCAATCCCGACTATAGTACTGATTGTAAGAAACTTTATGGGATGCTTGTAATTATGACTGCATATTATTATTTTTAATTGTCTGTCTTATGGTTTTGAAGATTTGAGGGAGGGCTGAAACGGTATGAGGAATGAGAATCGTATTAAAGAAGGGAGGAGGGATAAGATTAGTGTTAAGTTGGGAAAGATAATGCAGTGTCTTTGCTCGGGGGAACAGTTACATGGAGAAGAAATGGTCCCTTCTTCTGAATCTCTTGCAACCAAGGATTATACACATAGTGTTTATTCATCTCAAGCCGGAGAAGCTGAACGGAAGCCTGACACTGGAAATATTGAAGAAGCTGAATCATCTTTGCGCGATAGTGGTTCTTTAAATTACGAGGTTGTTTCTCTAATTCTTCTCTTGCAAACATCCTTTTGATGTTTCTTTTATCCGTATCTTTGGTAGAATTTTCACTCATTCATTTGCTTTTGCTTTTCCTTCTCATCCATATATCTAATGCTGTTTTTTTACTAATCTGTTCTATCATCAGTTAAAATGCTAGTATCTTGGCTAGCTTAGTCATTGAGTAAGAGCATGTTTTACTCTATGTAAAACTGTTCTAGAAGTTAAGTTAAGATTTTCTATCAAAGCAAGTGTTGTCCGGAAAAAATTAACTTTGAAAATCATGCTTGTCAAATAAGTAAGTTTGACTTACTTTTAAGCATAAGCAAACATGCCCTAGAATTTGTGCTGCAACAAAATGGTAGCTTGTTTATTTACTATAACTATGACTAAGAAATCATTATTCCAGGAAGCCAGAGCGTTGTTAGGAAGGTATGAGTATCAGAAAGGGAACCTAGAAGCTGCCTTACATGTGTTTGAAGGGATAGACATTGCTTCAGTGACTACGAAGATGAAAGTTACGCTTTCTAAAACAGGAGAAACTCGTAAGAGGCGGTCACAAAATTTTGTGACACCACCAATGTCAATACATGCTGTCAGCTTGCTCTTTGAAGCAATGTTTCTAAAAGCAAAATCATTACAAGCACTTGGGAGGTATAAAGGTAGCTTGCATGCTAATTGGTGAATTGTCCTTTTTTCATTTGCAAATAAGTATCTATTGAATCGCCTTATTTAAAAGCTTAAGATCTTATAGAGGAGACAAAATTATCTATTTAATATTTAATTTCAGCGGTATCTTATGGATTCATGCTGTTTTAGATTTTTATTATATTCTCGTTTTTCCTTCATTATAATCACCTAAATAATTTAAATTATTTAGATTTATAAAGATTCTTTGCTGCTTATCAGGCTTATTATTGTCTTGTTTTGAATATTATCAAATGTAATATTATATTAAATGTAATATTTCATGCATAGTAATACCATTATTACTGGTAATGATTGTTAGAGCAATCTACATAAACAAAATCTGAAAATTCTCTGAGCATTTCAATGATAACTAACACTGCTTACAAATTACAGTTTGTGGTTAACAAGATAGTAACTATTACATGGACTTCTGCTTATCCTAATTTTCGAAAGTTCCGATATCTGCATTTCTTGCTACTGCTCCCTTTATTCCTCCATTTTTTTTTATAATATATATATATTTTACAGAGAAAGGGAAAAGGTGCTGGGCAAGGGTAAAAACTATTTGCGAGATTGATGAACTGACAAATTATGAATGTTTTTCTGATTTATGATTTTTTCACCTTTGCAGAAGCTGCTCAATCATGCACAGTTATCCTGGACATTGTTGAATCTTCATTACCAGGTGGCTTGCCTGAAAACATTGGTGGTGACTGTAAATTGCAGGAAACAATAAACAAGGCTGTAGAGCTGCTTCCAAGATTATGGAAACTTGCTGATCATCCCAGTGAAGCTATTTTGTCTTACCGTCGGGCCCTTCTACATCAATGGAACCTTGATGCACAAACTACGGCTGAGATGCAAAAAGAGTTTGCCATTTTTCTTCTGTATAGTGGAGATGAGGCAAATCCCCCAAGTCTGCGATCCCAAATGGACAGTTCCTTTGTACCTAGAAATAATACTGAGGAAGCTATTCTTCTATTGATAATTCTTTTAAGGAAAGTTACCCTCAAGAGAATTGAGTGGGATCCATCAATTTTGGATCACCTTTCCTATGCATTATCTATATCAGGTGGACTAAGGGCTTTAGCTAATCAAGTGGAAGAGTTGCTGCCTGGGGTTGTACATCGGAAAGAAAGGTATCATATATTAGCTCTCTGTTACCATGGAGAAGGTGATGACTTATCTGCTCTGAATTTATGGGAAAAAATGTTGAAAAGTCACGAGGATCCTACGTGTGTACCGGCTTTACTATTTGCTTCAAAGATATGTGGAGAGAGCTCAAAATTTGCAGAAGACGGAGTTTCTTTTGCTTGCAGGGCTATTGAAAGCTTGCATGGAAGATGCGATCAGTTGGTGGGTGTTGCCAATTGCATGCTAGGTATCTCACATTCGGCAAATTCTAGATCATGTGTACAAGATAGTGAGAGGGCTAAAAGACAATCTGAGGCTCTCAAGTCCTTGGAAATTGCTGGGAGAATGACAAGAATGAGAAACCCCAGTATCGTTTACCACCTATGTTTAGAAAATGCCGAGCAAAGGAAGTTGGATGCGGCACTTCAGTATGCAAAATGTTTGCTTAAATTGGAAGGTGGGTTTAACCTTGAAGGATGGATACTGTTGGCACGAATTTTATCTGCTCAGAAACGTTTCCTTGATGCTGAAACCATCATTAATGCAGCTCTGGATCAGACTGGAAAATGGGATCAGGGAGAATTGCTGCAAACAAAGGCTAAACTCCAAATTGCACAGGATCTAGTGAAGGAGGCGATAGAAACTTATACTCAGCTTCTTGCTGTTCTTCAGGTTCAGAGGAAAACTTTTGGTTCAGGGAAGAAGCAAAAGGTGCATTTGTTGCTCACTTGTTACACACACACACACACACATTTCACTTCCTTACTACTGACGATGAACATTATTTAGTAACATTTAAGGGTTGTTTAATGTCTTTAAAGGAATTGAGTGACTCTTGGATGCCTTGTTGCTTGGTTGGTTGAAACCTATTTTTTTAAAAAGAGGATGGTTTAACCATGTTTATGGAGAACTTTGACTGAAGCTGTTAGAAAGACCCATACAAGATACAAGTTAACCTTAAACCACTTGGATTGAAATTTTATGAACGGTTCAAGTGTTTAAAATTTGACAGAGAACTTGTTCTGAAATTTAGTTGAAGGGTAGTATAGATTTTGTATTCATTTCAATGTGAAAGTTGACTTGAGTTGAACGCCTACACAAATCCTGTAGTTGTACATCAACTAAATCATTTAGTTTGCTTAAAATGAATATGATAATGTGTATATATGTATTAGGATTCAAGTATCTATATTATGTACCTATTTAATCATAAACTATTGTCATAAAATCATAAAACCTGAGAACTTATGTACATAAAATAGTTACATGGAACTTTATTGTGCATAATTAGAGTACTACATATATACAGGATCTAATTGTACCGTCACTACCGTGTCATACCAATAAAAAGATTGTCAAAGATATTCGATGTCACCACTTAATTTTCACAATTCACTAATGACACCTCCCTCTACCCGCCAAAATAAGAATAATCAAGATTATGTTTCGACTATGGCTGCCTGCAGAACGTTTTTCGTGTCGGCATGTTTACAATAGTTTGAATCTCCATGTTGCAAAAATATATACAAATTTGACTCATCCAGGCTGGTATGAATTGCTACTTTCCATAGGGTGACTTGTAATTCTGTACTTCAAACAACTTTGATGTCTTGTCCATCATGCATAATAAGTACAATTCCTTCTAAGTTTCTGCATTGAGTATAATTGTGTAAATTGAGGCAATTGATGGGATGATTCCCGGCTTGTGGCTTCATGTATAATGAAATTATTTTGCTTTGTTTTGAGGTCTCTTAGTTTCCAAAATCAAATTGAGATTGCTCTGCATGTTACTTTTAGTTACTTGCAAGTGTTATAAAAGAACTTCACATAGTTTAATACTTATCTTGCACGTACGTTGAGATTACATTGATTCCTTAAGTGTATCAGCTACATGAATTATGCCAAGTTGGGAATTCAACTTCTTTGCTCTTTGTCAGAGGCTTCCTCAAGTGCGTATGCTACATAGGTTGTGCCTATGTTGAGTAACCGACCTTACCTCGCCATTAGCCAAAATTTCCATGATGCTTGCTAGGTTTCGATGCTTGCATCAAGTGGACGGTTTCAATGAGCTAAGTGCTGCACGTACTTGGAATGTTCAAATTTATGACAAGGGGCTCCAGTTGGCATTTCATCGGCCTACACCTTAAAAATTGAGATAATTTTGAATGAGCTATGTGGTTGTTGAAATCCTATGATGATGCCTAATCCCCTCATCCCATGGATAATGCATAACCAAATACTTTTTGTTTTTTAAGGATAATAATAATTCAACCATTTATATTAGTAGACTACTTCAAACATAGTTGCATCTGTACAATATTTCAGCCTAGTAGTAATTTCGCTTCAATCATGTTTTCAAAGTTTTAGTTAAGCACATTAAAACCTAAATAAGTGTGTTTTTTAGGAAGATTTTCTACAATATTAATCTAGGAAGAAGTGTCTGTGTGTGTTTGAATTGGGGGTATTCATTGCTGTCATAGTCCATGTTATTTTGAAGCTATATCTCTGGCATTTTAATTTTCTTCTCGAAGTGTGTTTTTGTCAGCTAGTAGCTTATTGTAAGCATATTGACTCATTTCCCGCCTGGGAAAAAAGAAGTTTTTAGACTGAAGTTCCTTTCTTTCTATGTAATTGACAGGAAAACAAGAACCACCGCAAGAATTTAGAGATGGAAACATGGCACGATTTGGCTTCCATCTACATAAGATTGTCCCAGTGGCGTGATGCTGAGATCTGTCTTTCTAAATCTGAAGCAATTAGTCCTTTCTCAGCTTCTCGATGGCATACGGCTGGTATAATCATATAACACTTTTTTTTATATCGTTTCCTTTACCCATCTTGTCTACTAGTCTGTTTTCATTTCATTTGAAAGGAAAACTCAAAGAGAAAGAGGGGAAGAAAAGACAGATCCAAAGTGGTTTTTTCAGTTTTGTATGAATGCATTTATAGCCCATTTGTTCCAAAATACATTTTTTTAGAGGATGTTTGGTGGGGATTAAAATTAAATTTTTAGTAGACTGTGATAGAAGTTTTTGAAATGTGTGGTTGAAAAGTTGTGGGACCCGTGAAAGATGTGGTTAATATTGATTGTTTAACTTTGATTTGGATTAAAATCAGATTTTAATCCGGACTAAACATGGCTTAATATTCATTTTCAATCACACATTCTTCCATAAATTAATATTAAACGTAAACTCAAAATTTTTCCTTATCTTTTAACCACACATTTTTAAGAAAATAACTATTCCTAAATACATTTTCTCCCAAAATCACATTAAAATGGCCAAACTGGGGCTTAATCATTTATACGATGACCAAGTGCAATGGTGAAATTACTACCTTAGTTTGCTCCTCTTATAGGGGGTGTTTGACACCCATTTTAGTAGAAAAATGTGTTTTTGAATAGTGATTGATGAAATGATGTGTGGTTAAAAAGTAAGGAGAATTTTTAGGTTTATGTGTAATATTATTTTATTGATATAATGTGTGGTTGAAATGAAGAGAGAGAAAAATAATGAGAATGAGAATGAGAAAAAAAGGGGTGCCAAACGGGGGCATAATCTCAAAATTCTCTTCGTTCCTATCAATATTTGTCAATTGACCGAGATAATTTTTTTTTTGTACATCCACTGTAATTGGTATCATTTGATTACTTTTGAAATGTAAAAGAGATATTGGAACATTATACTAGCCCAACGAACTATACTCTTAGAGACCATTGTTTTGTTGAAAGAATACAGATGTCGAAGAGAAGTTGAGAAAATGAATTTCACAAGTATTCATTATCAGGCTTTTTGTATAATATCTGATTGTAGGGTGGTGATTGAGTAGAAAATCAATTTTTCGTACCACTGACGATCAGATTTATTATCCTGTGGAGGGGTCCTTCCGGAAGGTTAGTGTCTCATGGTTGGAGAGACTTTTTGAAGAGGCAGAGGACAGGAAGGTTGTATTTGCCAATGTATAAAGAAAAGTCCCTCGATCTAAATGGTTTTGAGATGGTGTCGGTCTTGTTGGGATGATGTTGATATTTACTTGGTGCTTATGCTTATTGTTTGGTAAGGTGGATTAGATAGTTTTTGATAGTAGATACAAGAAAAAAAGTTGATTCTGTACGTTGTATTGTCTTGAATAATATATAATACTGTGTACGAACATGAACTTATAGGTGGCAAGTGTTAGATGCTGCCTGAGTTTCTGATGTCCCATCCCCCTTTTAGGTCGCACCAATATTTAAGTAACTAGATTCCTTCATTAAGATTCATGTGCTTGCATTCATCTGGCCGAGCGAACTTATTTGCTTGTAGAGTGTGAGATTCATTTCGTTTGATGTATGCAGGTTTACTTCACGAAGCTCAGGGCCACCACAAAGAAGCACTGACGGCATTTATGCGTGCTCTGGATGTTGATCCAACGCACGTCCCCAGTCTAGTCTGCAAGGCAGTGGTTCTCAGACGGATCAGTAGCCAGTCTTCAGCCATTGTCCGGAGCCTTCTGACGGAAGCACAATCTGAGCTGTCTTACTTATGAAGGCGTACCATATTATAACCGGAGGAAATGTTCCTGCTCCCACCCCGTAACCGTGACCTCCTGCGACTTACAAAACTCCGCCGACGTGAGGAGCTTCTCTGCCTTGGACATGTTGGAAAGTCTACTACTCGATAAAACGTTTAAAGAGTACGAAAACTATTTAAGTTACATAAATATTAGTGTACAACTAAAGACTTTATATTGCGAAGTGTGAATTTTGTTATGGAATCTTGACTTGGTTATAAGCTGCATGTGTGCTGAAAAGTATGAAAGCTCATATTCTTGAAAGGAACTTGATCGGTTTGTTGTTAACATAAGTCATGCACAAAATATTCAATGTTGAAGTATGCGCAGTTATAAAAGCAGTTCAAAATTGAAAATCTTTTTCACAATAAGACTATTGAGTATCTGAGTTGTTCTAACCAAGCACAGTGAGTTGTCTAGTCAATGCAATTAAATCAGAGCAGAATTTACACATTCAATCAATTCAGTCGAGCTATCTGGGAAAAAGATCTCAACGAAGAGCGAAGCTTTTGAATAGGAGAGCACTAGGCTCCTATGGCCATTCATATTTTTGGTTGTTATGTTGAACAACTTAAATAATTTGAAAATATTTCATTTTTACTTTAGGTGGCGGCGGGTTGAAAAATATTATGCATCATTTCTTAAAGAAATATTGAGAACTATATATTTCATTCTTTGCCAGTTATTACTTAAATCTTCTCACATGCATTAAGAATCGACTAGATAATGAGGGATATTGTGACATTCAATTTGAAATCTGAACCACTCGAACATGGACAGTAGCCGTCAACGAATGATAATCACTGCAGATTTTACATCTATCCCTTCCAAGAAGAGAGAGAGACATTACACACTCCTCTAAAAAGGGTATGCCCTCCGACAACGAAAAGTAAAATTACTTTGTCTGTTTGTCCAAGAATTTTAGAGAGAGAATCAAACATTTGAGAGATGTTCTTGTCTGCCCACATTAAAATCATAAATAAATTCTTTTAATGTCCTTTCTCAAAATTTTTAGCAGTAGTGTAATGGAGAGGGGTAAATCAGGGCCAAGTGCTTCAGTGAGAGAAGAGAAGAAACAAGAAAATGAAGAGGGCTTTGATTATGAAGAAGAGGGTTTTGATGAAATGGATCAAGAAAATAGAAAGGTTTTTGAGAATTTTAATCCTGGTCCTCTTCTTCCTCTCAAAGATCAGATTGAAAAAGACAAGGTTTTTTCTTCTGCTTCTTCTTAATCTCACCCTTTCTTGTTCTTCTTGCTTTTGGATTTCTCGGCAAAATCTTGGTTTTGTTTGAATGTAGTTATTCACGAAAATTGGGATCTGTCAGGCTTTTGGTGCAAAAATGAATCTTGTCCCTGATCGATGTGTTGAAGACTAAAGTTTAAAAAAAAGGGTTAGTAGCTAGAAGTTTAAGACTAGTGTTCCATTTTAAAAGAGTAATGCTATTTAGCCCGAGCAGGGTTACGATCCCAGTCTAGGTGGCGTTCATCTTTCGTTTAGCACCTAGACTGGGGTCACAACCCCATTGAGCTACGTAGCATTACTCATTTTAAAATGTACGTTATTAATAGGTTAGTCCAAGCCTTATACTAGTCTATATTTTAATAATTATTCAATATGGGATTTTTCCTTAACATTTCACGTAAGATAGTGTCTTGTTTGAGTAGTCCAATTTTAAAATCCACGTGCTCATTTTTTAGTCTTAATCGGATCAAATTCGTTGGAGTTTAACGGATTAAGACTATTAAAATGTCGACTTTAATAGGAGGAGTAATCTAGTCTATATTTTGGTAATTATTCGATGTAGAATTTATCCGTAACAGTTTATGCTCTTAGACGAGAGTTTTCAATGAATTCTTCAGTTTTGAAGCTGAAATTTGATTATTAAATAGCAGGGATAATGAATTAAGATAACATGTCAAGAGGAGGTGGGGTTCATATTCTTAGACTCTGGGTGAAAGCAGTCAATATAGCCCAGCACTAATTTATAACCGAAGAGGGTTTATATTCTCGAACTCTGCTATTGGCATTTGGGCTTTGATCATTGTTGTCTGTACAAATTTCAAGGTGTTCTGCTATTTAAGTTTTACCTTTTCAGTTGGTATTTTGAAACCTTCAAGTTCGAGGTGTTCGAATTCATGAGTGAGGAGTTGTTGGTGTGGGAGCGACGTGTATGGAACTGTCCCAAAACAACAACAAAAAAAGTAATTAGTGAACAACATTATAGTTTTTGCTGATTCTTGAATAAATACCAAGAAATATGCATCAATATCTCATTGATTCACACACAATATTAAGAATTTGAACTCATAGATTCCATTTTTTTTATTTTCCTTAGGAGGATGAGAGCTTAAGAAGATGGAAGGAGAAGCTTCTCGGCTGCTTGGAAAGTGATTTAAATGGTTCGTCTTAAAAATCCCCTATCCATGATGTCGGACCCTTTATATATACATCTTGGTTTTTCAATAGTAATGGTGCCTACTTTTGCAGGACAAATGGAGCCTGAAGTTCAATTTCAATCAATCGGAATCATATCTTCTGATTTTGGTGAGCTCAATAGTCCCTTGCCTATTACTGAAGACCAGCACAAGCATGTACTTTTTAGTCTCAGAGAGGGCTCTGATTACCGCCTTAAGCTAACATTCACAGTTCTTCACAACATCGTGTCCGGCCTGGCCTACACAAATACAGTTTGGAAGTCTGGACTCCAAGGTTCGGAATCTGCCTTTTTTACTCATTATTTATTGTGCACATTACCGATTACTTGCATCTTTTCGAACTTATAACCTTTGTCCGAGTAGAGTGGAAAATATTTTAATAATGGCGCACATTCTGAAATTTTTCAAGAATACTTGCTCATCGTTAAAGAGTACTTTTTATAATGGTACAATAAGCTTGTGGAGAAGTCTGTTAATCATCTGCTGGTAACATATATGAAAAAATGTTGTAACATTTTTGAGGCTCGTTCTCTTTTCATCTGTCAATATAGGTAAGTACGCCCACGTTTAGACTTCTGTTTCACTTATGCTAATCTTCAATAATATTATTATTTTTCATGTTTGTTTTTCCATTTTTCCCTTTGATTTTCTTCGTAGTTGATCAAAGCAAAGGTATGTTGGGCACTTTCGCTCCTCAACGAGAACCATATGTACACACCTTAGAGGAGAAGACGACCCCATCTGGGATGCTTGCAAGAGGAATATATACAGCTAAGCTTCAGGTGTGTGTAGTTGCAATGTGACGTGTGTGATTTTTTCTTTTAGCCGATAATTTATGGTCTGTTTGACAAGGCTTTTGAAAAGTCAAAAGTTGCTTATGAGATTAAGAAACTTATTTTAGACATGTTTGGATAATTTTATGAAAGTGCTTTGTATGACTAAAATAACTTTTAGAGGAAGCTGCTGGGCACTCGACTGGATCTCTTTGTTTAATAGAAAAATAGGGTAAGTTTCGTTGAGGCTGCTTTAATGGTAGCGACACTTTGAAAAAGTCAGATGAACAATTAATGTCACAGCATGTTTTTCTACGGTTAGAAGTTACTTAAACTTTTGTTGCCAAACATGTTCTACCTTTTTTTAAAATTATGTATTTTTTGGAGTGAGTACGCAATCTCACTATTCTTTTCAAAATAGTTATTTTTTCTTAAGCTTAGCCGAACATTCTGCTTATGGTTTTGTTTTCTGGTATGAAATTGTGCAGTTTCAAGACGATGACAACAGATGCCATTTGGAGCTCGATTATTCTTTTGAGATACAAAAGAGCAGTTAAATCTAGTCAATGTTTTGTTCATTGTTGGACCATTATTGAGCCTTCTGCCTTATGGTCGAACAAGAAAAAGAGATTTTTCGTTTCTTAAAAGCATTTGTTTGGTTCTTTTATGTTAGTCAACCGTAGCCATGGTTATATAGCTGGTTTTGAGCTGAACTTTTGTAAATTTCATTATCATATACAGTTGGAATTGTTCGTCTAGCTTTATAGTCGACTTATTGTACATTGTGCTTGCCTGTTTGGTTTATTGCAAAATAGAATGCCTTAACCAAATTGGTAGAAAACTGAAAATGAAGTCGGGAAGTCTATTGTTATGCACACTTCAAACCTAGCAAATTGTAGGACTCGTTTGACAGTTCTTTTAAAAAGTCAAAAGATGCTTACAAGATTAGGAAGTTACTTTTGAGTATATTTAAATAATTTTTATAAGTGTTTTATTTAGTTAAAGAGTATCCTTATTTTTCATATAAGGGCCTGTTTGATAGCCCTTTATTTTCCATGGAAGTTGGAATTGAAATTTCGTTTCCTACTTTTGTCGTGTTTGATG